GGATGCCGTAGTAGGGGTAGCTGGTGAAGGATTGAATGTTGAACAAAGAAAAAGGCTAACCATCGGGGTTGAGTTAGTTGCAAAACCAAAATTGTTAGTTTTCCTTGATGAACCAACTTCCGGTTTAGACTCACAAACAGCATGGTCTATATGTAAGTTGATCCGAAAGTTAGCTGACCATGGACAAGCCATTTTGTGTACGATTCATCAGCCATCTGCTATTTTGTTGAAGGAATTCGATAGATTATTATTCTTACAAAAAGGTGGTAAAACAGTATACTTCGGTGATCTTGGGAATAACTGTCAAACCTTGATCGATTATTTTGAAAAGTACGGGGCACCAAAATGTCCTCCAGAAGCCAACCCAGCGGAATGGATGTTAGAGGTTATCGGTGCAGCACCAGGAAGTCATGCAAACCAAGACTATTATGATGTGTGGATGAATTCTTCTGAGTATAAGGAAATCAACGAAGAATTGAACGTAATGGAACAAGACTTGGTTAAGAAGCCAAAGGATGATTCACCTGAGACTATGAAGACATATGCCGCCCCATTTTGGTATCAATATAAACATGTCACTCACAGAGTTTTCCAACAATATTGGAGAACACCTTCATATACTTATTCCAAAGTATTAATGTCTATCTTTTCATCTTTGTTCAATGGATTTGCTTTCTTTAAGGCAAACAAGTCTATGCAAGGATTGCAAAACCAAATGTTTTCAGTCTTTATGTTCTTTGTGATCTTCAATACCTTAACTCAGCAATACTTGCCTAACTTTGTAGCTCAGAGAGATTTATATGAAGTTAGGGAAAGACCTTCGAAAACTTTTTCATGGATTTCCTTTATTACAGCTCAAATCACAGCTGAGATTCCATGGCAGATATTCTCTGGAACCCTTGCGTTCTTTTGTTGGTATTACCCTATTGGTCTTTATAGGAATGCGGAACCTACTGATACAGTAGCCCAAAGAGGTGCATTGATGTGGATTATTATTGTGTTGTTCTTTATTTATTGTTCCACAATGGCTCAGTTATGTATCTCATTCATTGAAGTAGCCGATAATGCAGCAAATCTAGCATCCTTGTTATTCACAATGTGTTTGACGTTCTGCGGTGTTTTAGCATCCCCCGATGCAATGCCTAGATTTTGGATCTTCATGTACAGATGTAATCCTTTCTCCTACTTGGTATCGGCAATTTTGTCTGTTGCACTTGCAAATTCTGATGTTACCTGTTCGGATAAAGAATTACTCAAATTTACTCCTGAAGATGGCCAAACCTGTGGTGAATACATGCAATCATACATACAGAATGCGGGTGGCTATTTGGTTAACAACGATAGCACTAAATCTTGCGAATATTGTACCATTGCTTCAACAAACGTATTTTTAAAGGGAGTTAGTGCCGATTACAGCAAGAAAAGTCGTGATATTGGTATTTTTTTCTGCTTTATCGTTATTAACATTATTGGAACTATATTTTTCTACTGGCTTGCTAGAGTACCAAAACGCAGTAGACAAAAATAAACATTCCCAACTCAAAAGTTTGATTTAGCGTTTTTTTGCAATTGAAAATTTCATTTGCTAGCCTAATGTGTTTTCACTAGCTTCTAATATCTCATATATATAAATAACAAATAAATTATTTTAAGTTTATTAGTATATTTGATTAAGCTAGGCTGCGAATCATCTCTGATATATTTACTTCTATTCATTAATGATTGCAATAGGGTGATGTAAATATCATGCAATAATTAGTATGTGGTTGGCGTGGAGTTATTGTTCTTTCTCCGAATTAGGAACATGCCAAGATGCAGTTTATAAATATTCTATTAACAACTTGATAAAACCATAATTGAACTATAATTAGTACTAGATTATACATAATTGATAGAATCCATGCTTAACCTGCAATTTGGCTGATATAAATAGTGAATCATCAATATAATTAGTATTCAGAACATCCTAATATAGGTCGCATTTCTATCAAAACAATATTTGTTACCATATTTAATAAACAATTAAGGGGCAATTTCAATACATTCGTTGATAGGTTAAAATATTTCATAATATGACAGAGGATAATGAAGTCCCAAACTATAGGGGCTTTGATGAAGGAGTTTCGTCTGAAGTGCAAAACCTAGCACGATCAATGAGTCGAACGTCTACAGATGAAAAATCGTTGTCTAGGACATTTACCAATATGTCACAAGTTCCAGGAGTTAATCCTATGTCTAAAAACGAAGATATTGATCCAAGGTTGGATCCTGATTCAGATAATTTTGATTCCAGATTCTGGGTGAAAAATCTTCGGAAGATGTATAACTCAGACCCTGCGTATTATAAGCCGTCATCATTGGGTGTGGCATATAAAGACCTTCGGGCTTATGGTATTGCTACAGATGCTGATTATCAGGCTAATTTTGCAAATGCTTTTTATAAGCTTGCTTCTAGAACAATTAAAAAGTTTTTCGTT